GACGATGTTTTTCGCACTGAAGAATTCCAGCTTATTTCAGATTTGTGAGAAATAATTCTAGTACATAAACGAGAAAAGAAAAAAAACGCAATTTTTGTTTCCCTGATTTAATTGAAGTTTGATGCTGCAAAATTTTCACCGGGAGGTCAATTCGAAAGCCAAATGAATTCTACCACCTTTTGGGTTCTATTCCAAACCTGCTTTTTTCTGATGCGGAGGCCATTGAGAAGGTTATGGAGTAAGCAACATCAGGAGGTGTAATGTGAATGACGGTTTTGAATGGAAGGTCAAAAAGCGAAAATAGTTTTAATGCAAAATGAAATAACTAACTTCAACGCAAACTGTAGAATAACTGGTATTGTGTTTGAATTCAATGGCGACGAATATGCATTGTTCGTCAAAATAATTGAGAACATCAATCCGCTCGGAAGACTCACGTATAAGTCTGTCTAATAACGCAGAGCTTTGCTAACTGTTTCCGAGGCAGAACCAATCGGGTAATCACTTAACGTTCACTCGAATTCGGTAAATGTGACCGTCTCCTGGATAGTTGTTTTTGTCTTCTGTATGACAAGTGAAAGGCCTCAGTGAACGATATTTCAATGTCTATCAACAACTCACTTTATTAACTCGCCATTTATAAGTGAGGAAGATGCCCCTCTCACTCTGTTCTGAACGTGCCCCAAAACGGGTGTTGATTAAATGTGGTTTGCAAGCACACCCTTGATCTTGCCGTTGAAAACTAGCTCATTCTACCCATCAAACCAAACGGCTTCCCGTACCATAATAGGAACCCACCGTTTCCCAATGTCGACTGGTTCTTTCCCTCTTGTGTAGGATTCTTCGACCTTCATCAGACCCTCATGATTCCCCACAACTTTACTGCCCCCCCCCAATTGTGTTCAGCACCGCTGAGTCAGAAGCATCACTCATCTGAGTCTCAGAACTTAATAATATTCTTTCTTCAAAGAATCGTTACCAACTGTGACACACTTGGAACACAGTTGTTCACCGCTTGATTTGGTGAACTTTCTAAACGGGGAAGCACATAATCTTGTTTCAAAGCCGCTAAGGCTAAAACGTCTACCAGTTCGCACACAGCCCAGATTCCTTCGTTGTAGCTTTTCGTTTGTCACACAAGGCCGACTACAACCAGAGAGACTGTGACAAGTAGTTTTCTTTTTATCACTTTATTAGTTTCGAGCCTGCGGATTTTGGTTTGCATAATGCTTTGAAAATCCAAAGGATGAAATTCACAGCTATTCACATACCCTTTACCTGAAAAATAATTTACTGCTGTTTTATGTTCATTCCGAACGGAAACGATGGGAGGGGGGCTTTATTTCTTTCCCCAGTGTGTGAATAGAAGTCGATTGCCACTTGTGAATATGGTGCATGAGTGGGAACCCGGTCGTCACCTTTCTTGACCAACAGTGTACTCAGTCATTAGCGAACACAGTTCTTGATAAACACCTCGCAATTAGATAAAATCTGATTTTGTAACCAAGGTGTTGGAAGTAATAAAATTGGAAACGGTTTTCCGCTTTTGGATCAGCCACTATCGGATCCCTCACTACTTTACAAACAATGCATCCAGCTGTACGGAAGATTTGTCCAAAACGTTTTTTCGGTGATCACTTCGCGGATGTAATTTTTGATCCATTTTACAGTTTCACAATTGTTTTTGTTACGAGATAATCACAAAGCCAAATATTTTCATAGCAATCCCAAGTGATTTCCGCATATGTCAGTCAGACTAAAATTCTGAATCATAATCTCTTTGTGAGAGTTGTTGCTCTGTTTAAATTTACGCCCTTCCCCTCCCTCGCCCCGATTATTCACGTTCACATGATAACCAAAGTCGGCTATTACCCTTTCGGTTGTTCACTAATTGGCATCAGCAGAACAGTTTGTCACTATATTCACAGTATACTGATCAGACACTGGTCAGTTGAACGTCATTCAGTGAGACTCCACATCGAGGAGGCTTTCAGATGTATACCATATTAAAGTGTTCAAAGTCAAAGTTTTACTATGCGGCATACTTTCAAGTGCTTGTCCTTCTTTGCCCATAGGATTTTTTGCACAACTGTATCAATTTACCGGCCAAAGAGAGATGAAGAATGCCGCAACTTGTGATTGTTTCGTTTATTACTACGGATTTCGAAATTTCAGACCTTTCATCCAGTTTGTGCTTGAAAGAATCAGTTGTGGGCGCAGGAATAAAGCAAAGTCGTAGAGAATTCCAAATACTACAGACTCCGAGGGTACATGGATAACGTTGGTTTTTCAGTTGACAGTTTTGTAGCACACATTTGACTGATTGCCCCCTGATGTGAGTGTAGGGAGATGACGCGAACGGGGAAGGACGAGTGGTCATGATTCTGCATTATTAGATACACCAGATTCAAGTCTCCTCGATTTTGATGATACTGTGGGGAGTACAACGCTAATGACTTCCATCTTTCTACATAGGTTTTGGAATGCAGTTCATTGATCATTCTGGTGGTCATCCTTTGTGGACGTTCAACAGACTTATGATCATGTTGCAGGTTAAATGGTGCCCTCTATGTGGGGTCGAATTTGGTCCGATAATTACCGTGGGAAAATTCACCAAACACCTGATTCTGCGATGGTGTACAACAGTGTTAATATTAGCTGGATGCAGAGTCCTTGGATGAATAGAATTAACCATCAGGTCATTTTTTTACATTACAGAATAGCCTACATTATTGTTGTATTTGCGCTTAACCACTCACTTGGTGACTTTGTGTAACCTGATGAGTTTTAATGGCTTGACTGGTGGATTAACTTATAACTACTTTTATTAAATGTATGTCTAATAACGTCAAACGGAAAGGAAGTTAGGCACATGTGATTTGATCCAGGACAAAGTCTGTGGGATTGGTTATACACTTGTGTTCTTTATAAGTCTATTTATTTCCATCTAATGATCCATTGGTTGCTAATCTTGAGTTGATTTCACATCATTTCATTTTCTGTATTAATAGCCAACAACTACAAGAAATCACTCACCACAACAAATAGATGCTTGAATTCATGGTCATTTGAAAAGCCATTATCGATCGCATGTGGAGGTTGTTTAGCACAGTGCATCATGAGCAAACCCCTCACGCCTCGGGGACATGTAGCGTAGAAACGATACCGGACAACTCTGGATCATGTGATTTAAAATGATGAACTCTTATGCATCGAAGGCCGTTCTCATTCAGTTTCGGTTTCAGTTTGTACAATGATTAACCGCGCACTATCCTGCGTCAGTTTTGGTTGTTGTCTTTTGGCTGCCCATTTGGATGAAGCAGTACGAGAAAGACAGGAAAGTTGAAAGTAGAATCCAAGGGAAAATTGAAACCCCAGTAAACCATGGCTGCAAATATAATGAGAAGATGCACGAACGCCACTGTTTACGACACTCAGCCATATCACTTAGTGTCTATAACCATCGGTTAAGATCATCATCACATTGACAGAGTTCAGTCAAAAAGTGATAAATTATCTTACTCAAAAGATGCCGCAGTCCGGGGAGAGTTTGAGGGACAGAAGCGACACGGTACGTTCCACTTTCCGAGGCTTATTCCACAAAGGTGTTGGAATGCAGTCCCTTGACTATTTTGGTGGTCATGCTTCGTGGATGTTCCCAATTCTTGCAATCATGTTGCAGCTTAAATGGTGCCCTATGTGTGGGGTCGAATCTGGGCCGATAATTACCGTGGGAAAATTTGCCAAACAACCGCTTTCGCGTTAATCTCTAACAAAATAAATATTAATTTGATGCAAAATAATGCAATACATCCAACTTCGAGATTTCTGAGGCTTCTTCGAAAAGGAGGCACTCAGTGATTATTTGACAAATTTTTAACACATTTTATTTGAAATCCTCATTACACGGTGACTAAGCGACAAAACGGAGGAAGCGTTGCGAGAAATTGTCCATCCTTGGGACTCTAATGTAAACTATTTTAATGTGTGTATTTTTTGATTCAAATATTTTTTTATTCCACTTGAACTCTCTGGGTTTATTGTATTCCTGATACACCTGATTCCAGACTCATTTCTTGGGAAAATGTGATATGTATCAATCAATGATCCAATTGGTTTTGACGGTTGATGGAGGTCGTGTGGACTGCTTTCTTTAAATGTCACACTCAAAACTTTGGATGCGAATAGGCGTACACTGGGTTTTGACGTTCACGCGTGACACAATCATACGTTAAAGTTGGTAAACCTCAGTATAAACGGGCACCAACAGTCAAATCAATACACAGCAGGAAATTTAAAGGGGACCCACTGGAGGACATTACATGACAGAAGAATTAGCGGTTGTTTTTTTTTAGTTAAAGAAATCTGAACATGAAAGTGGTATTTGGTCAGTGAAAATTTACCGTTCTTCGATGGTATTTTAAATTGGTATTCAACGATGCAAAAGTAAACACGCAAACAAACCTCTCGCCACACAGAAAGAATGGTGCATTTAAAGAAGTAAAAGCTTATTATTATACTTATTTGCCCGTTCGGCAGAACTGGGTACAATTCTTCGTACGGATTAAGGCTGCGCGCGAATTGCAACTTTTGGGTTTAAATGTTATATCTGGTTTGTGTCTTACTACTCACTAACTGCGGCCAGTGAATCAATTTTCCAGGTACATGGCCAGGCAGTTTGGCATGATATATTTATGACTTTTACTGGCTTCTTGGATTATTATTATCAAGGACTAAAGTTGAAAAAATAGGGACCCTTATTAGGACAAAATACCTGTTCGCTTGATGAGACGCTTGTATTGGTGTGTTTATGTGTGTGCACTGTTTAGAACGATGCGGGTGACGTGGACGACGTCCTCGTAATTCGACCCCGTTGTGTTTGCCCCGTTTGCCCCGTATAGGACTATGCATGCCAAAGCACTCGAATTTATGGTCGATCCATCAACAACTAACAATTTCTCATTGGAGTCAGTATTATCCTAACTCCATTTGTGGTTCAGCTTTGAAGTGAATTTTCAGTCAGACTACATTCTGAACACTAGAATCAGCCGATCTGTAGTCGAATTTGGTTCCCCTTACTCTTCGACAGATTTCCCGAATCCACCGGTAATGAGTCTGACTTTACTTATCCACGTCTGCGGTCTGTAGAATCAAAAATCTTAATACTATTATGGGTCAATTGTTCGGTTTTCAGTACTTTCCAAGTAACCTTACATTACCCAGGATTGGGTTGGAGTGCATCACCTGACAAATCTTCATTTTTACACCTTTACCATTATGCACTCCATGAGTCATCCGAGGGTTTGGTGTGGAATGTGCCGATCATCCGGTGATATTGTGACAAGTTGAGGTCAGTCTTCAGATGCGTGCTTGCGTGCGTGCGGGCGTGCGTGGCGTGGTGAGGTCAATGATACCAATTTTCGTTTACAAAGGAGTCCCGAGTCACCTGATTGATAACCGCTAAAGCCAGCACTCTTCTTTCAGTGGAGTCCAAAAGAAGACTGGGCTAATTCGATCATGACGTCGGTAATGTTTCCTGAGGCAAAGCGGGCCTGAAGAATGGAGCATGAATATTTTTTCATCGTTAACCGAATTGACATTCTAAGAGTAGAAAATTAATCTTAACTGGTGAATGGAAATGAATGAATTCATCCCTGATCGATTACGACAAATTGTCTGCTTGCAACACATTCGGAAATGTCTACAGGTAATTCGTTTTTCAAAATTGTGATATGATCGCGAAAAAAGCGAAAGGCACATGGGTGAGTTGCTTTTTATGTCTACATCTGCACGACAATGAGCCAAGGTAATCGTCCACAGTACTCCTACAATATTCGAGGCTGGTAAGACGAACCGAATGGCACGAATGAAATTAGCCTGTTGCTTTTTGTCTAAAACCCCGCGATAAAGACCAATCAGCTGATTGATCAAGTACCCGGACGTGGTGTGTGTTTAATGAATCATGACTGTTGATAGGGTTAATCACTCTTCAATTTTCAAGTTCAGGTTCATTCCCGGCACACTCCCTTGTACACCTTTTTCCGCCATTACGCCTCGTGTACGCGGAGTTACCTGTCATTGGTCATGTGGGATCAGGGTTATTGCTACTAACGGAACATTCTTAAAACTTCATCTTCTCACAAATTCCCAGGATTCACATGCATGTTGATCTCAGTACGTTTCGGGGGTGAAATTGACTACACCTTTTCCCATCAAGCTTTAGCCAAAACCCGCATTCATTTAGCCTCGACCCGCAATCCTTTAGCCAAAACCCGCAATGCTTTAGCCACGACCCACAGTCCTTTAGCCTCGACACACAACATTTAGTCACACCGCTGTAGGCGAGTCAGAACAAAACTATCGGACTATTCTGAGGTCAACGAACGTTGAAAAAAAATTATATTTTACAAATTTTGATATTGCATAGCTTGACTAATAAATGAGAAGGTGTGGCAATCGTATGCTACGCAGTTGACTGTAGTCAACGGCATCAAATGCCGCACCACATAGTGATTGGAGTAGGTTTAGACGATGTGCTCGTATCGTCAAACCATTTGGTACATCTCGTATGGCTTCAGTGTTTTTAGTGAACCAGTTTTTGATGCACTAAATAATAAGCGAATTAAAGGATTAAAATCGCTCACCTGTTTGAATTTACTGACGATCTCATCCAATGGATTAAAATAGGGACTGTATGGTGAGAGAAATCGGACTTGGTGGTTGACATTTAATTACGTATCCAAAGCTCTCCGATGAACGGGCGCATTGTCAAGGATAAAAACTACTGGGATACCCGGTTCCTCAGTAACGATTAGCGTAGAGCAGCTTTATAGGAACCCATTGAAAACATGCGAAGTAATCTTTGTATGATATTCATATTTCAGGATACCGGCGACAGATGAACATGCTTTTATGTTCAAGTTGGGTCCTTTGCTGGACGGGAGGCTTCTAATGGTATTACAGCCCAGTTTGGATCTTCAATAGCTGCGACAGGACCAAATATTTTAATTGGTCTCGTCAATATTGTCTCAGGATTGCACATCGTCTAAACCTACTCCAATCACTATGTGGTGCGGCATTTGATGCCGTTGACTACAGTCAACTGCGTAGCATACGATTGCCACACCTTCTCATTTATTAGTCAAGCTATGCAATATCAAAATTTGTAAAATATAATTTTTTTTCAACGTTCGTTGACCTCAGAATAGTCCGATAGTTTTGTTCTGACTCGCCTACAGCGGTGTGACTAAATGTTGTGTGTCGAGGCTAAAGGACTGTGGGTCGTGGCTAAAGCATTGCGGGTTTTGGCTAAAGGATTGCGGGTCGAGGCTAAATGAATGCGGGTTTTGGCTAAAGCTTGATGGGAAAAGGTGTAGTCAATTTCACCCCCGAAACGTACTGAGATCAACATGCATGTGAATCCTGGGAATTTGTGAGAAGATGAAGTTTTAAGAATGTTCCGTTAGTAGCAATAACCCTGATCCCACATGACCAATGACAGGTAACTCCGCGTACACGAGGCGTAATGGCGTGTCTGCCGGTTAAGGTAAAACTGATCTCAGTAGATTGTCTAATTTCATTTACACTTGGTGAATGGGCAAAATGCGATCGATGATGTGGTCTATGGTGGAATAACAAAGACTGAAAGTTGTTAATCCCATCCTATCCAGGCGATCCTTGTAAGTTTATTAGAAATCCGGTTCTTCCCTAGATTTAGGGGTTATTGCGGGAATGAGTCACAGGGTGTTCTTCGTGAAATGGATTTCTTTACAAGTGCCAAAAGCTATCACGTGATGATAATGTATGTTCTTCTCATGCGTGAAAAAGCGCGACAAGTTTGGGTGCGAATGGATTGTGAGGCTTTTACCCGCACAAACAAGCCCCACTCACCGTTTTTTTACTTTCGATGAATTGAAATCACCCGATTTGTTGGTGAATCTACTCAGTGTGGTTATACAATATACTTTCAATATGTAGGTTTCACTTATTGGTGACCACGGATGATGGGATTTATCACATGAAAACATTGGGTTTTTAAAAGCCCAACGTGCCATGACTCTTTCGTCTATATATCCTGGCGCTGGGCAACCCGCGTGATAGTTGTCGTATGGTGGTATAAACTACACTAACCTACTTATTAAATTATCTTTAACAGGTCCCTAATGTACTTTTGTTCACTATTCCAGCCACTCGCTCTCTTTGGTGCTCTGTTTAATTGACTCAAACCATTGCCTCACTTCACAAGGATTTCATTTTTGAAGCGGTTTGACTGGCTCCCCAACTGGGGGTCATTTGTTGTAGTTTTATCTAATACAAGTCAGCTAAAGTACGATTTGAAGCGCAAGACTTTTAGTTTTGAATACCCTCGTGATCTAATTAAACGGTGTGCACCTTTTAAACATTTATACTGAATTAAAAACTATCTTTGTGCTCGCCAAAACAGCGTGCTTGGCAAGTTGATTGCCAGTGATTGATAAAAATTGGTTCTGATTTACAGCTACTTGATGATTAGGTGCTCGTTTTAGTGGATTAGACGGCTAAACTCAATATGCGCGAACCATGTTCACGAATGATCATTCCTCCAAGAGGGTGTCGATAGCAAGATGCATTTAAAATAACATGTTGAAGAAGTATATCGCGTGGAATTCTTTCATTTTCTTGTCATGCCTTTTTAAACTTCAATAGTCTTCAGTTTGACGCATTCTCCGTGGTAGGTATGACTTTTGGAGTAATACCATGTTTGTGACCATGCTGGTTACATCCCGGGTTCTGGGTGCGAGTGTTCAATGCTCGCTGATCGGTACAAATAATTAAGTCTTAATCGGTTCCGGAATGATACGGTAACCAATCTTGGAGTTTCCTAAAACGGACATTTTTCAGTTATCAAACACTAACATAAATTTCGCAATTCGCCGAATTCTGCATTTGTTTCACGTTTAAACCGTCTCACGTTGAAACTATTTCCTCTCGCCCACCCCATCCCCAACCCCGCTCGCACCCTCGGCACTCCCTCGGCACTGCCTCGGCACTAATGGACTGACTGCATTTATGTCTCGCTCGGAATTAGGTTTAAAAANTTAAAAACCTTTTGGAATTGGAAAATGAGATCAGTCGAAGCTATCCAGAATTGTTGCCCACATTCAACAATGTCATGGAAGATATTCGAAACGAAATCAAAGCCTCACGGGAAGAGAAACACACACTGGAGGAGAACTATTTGAAGTGAGTTTTACCGGTTCCGAGATGCAGTGAAACAGTTTGATGAAATGTAGTTGTAACTCTAATGGTAATTGTAATTGTAATTACAACTTCTGAAGGCGTAAAGCATAGATCGGGGTTTCACGATTTTCGAATGATTATTCTGCAGAAAACACACCCAAAAGGTACGAAAATGAGTTTTCAGACTGCCAGTTACGCATCAAATAGTATGATCCTTCTGTGGTCGTCAGACTAGTTCTCTAAAGTATACCAACATTCACTATTCCCTGCAGTCCCTGTAATCTGTTCATATGTCAGATCAGGCTCATAGAGAACCATCATATCGAGAAAACACAGCACTGACTGATGTTTGCTTCTGCTTCTTCGGCCACGTGACCCGTACCAGGTTTTTACACACATCAACTAAATTTCTACATGCTCTGTCCATATATGATATGTGGCCTATGCTTAGTGAGTACCATATGGCAATACAGTGCAGGGGAGGGACGGGATGGTAGCGGCAGGAGAGATGGGGTGGACTGAGATAGGGGGAGGGTACACTGGCACCATTAGAGCATACATGTTATATCAAAAGTACAAGGATTTTAATTAAAAGATACCAGAATGATAACAATAGAATTCTAAGAATGTATGCTAACCTGAAATTTGTTGACGCTGAGTTTCGAATATACTCATGGTCAGCAGAAACCTGTCGCAACCGAACGAAACGCCCCGAATTGTGAATATGGGCGAGTGAATGGGAACGATCATTTTTTAATTTTACATAGGAATTAATACAATTTTAAAATTGCTGGATGTTAAACTCTCTACTTCAAAAGGGACCATCAGGTGATGTGAAACAGTCGTGGCTGTAGTGAGATTGATTCTTCAATTGCAAAATTATGAAGTGACGCAACAAGTTAACAGTTCAATACGAAAGAAGTTCGGTTGGTTGAACAACCCAATCGATGAGAAAAAGCACTCATGTACCCACATTCTCTATATTTTAATAACTTGCTTCAAACTTGCCCGGTTTGATACAGCGAGATCATTCTTTTCTCAGGGATTAGTTGTGTTATAGTAAAAGAATCACTTTACAGATATTCGTCAATTTTTCACACTGATACAAGTCTCATGCACGGTAAAGAGCTCGGAGGGATTGGTGAGGCTGTGGAAGTTTTGATAGACGCATAACGGATTGAAGAAAACCGAGTTCGACTGACCAATCTAGTCATGTACATAATATTATTGTGTTGTTCAGCGTCTGTGGTCAAGAACTAAGGTTCGTTTACCGACCGTACTCTATCACCTATGTTCGAGCTCCGTTACCGTTCTACTAATCCTCTTTTTCGTAGACTTTAAATAACCGCGGTGCCCTTTCGGAATATTGAGTTGATCGTCTTTTTTCTGGAACGAAAGGAAGTAAAAGGAAGATTTCTTCTATTTTATCGTTAACTGGGTACACTATTCTACAATCTTGCTTTACGGTGGCTAAATCCTGGGAGAGGATAAGCGGGCTTCAAGAGTATCAAGTGAATATCTACGAAATTTCTTGAGGATCAGGCACACGAAACGTCCCCAGTGTGATCCGGCTTTGGAAAGAGGTGGCATCTCTGGCCTTTGTTTATCCAAGCGCTAACTGCAAGGCAGCAGGTAGGAAGCACATGTTTGCCGGTGGCCCTCTGGGGGAGCTAATACGTCATTGACAGTTTCTAGTTGAACAGAGATCTATGCATCCTTCATGCGTATCGAGTAATCGCCTCTACTGTTGAGTCGTGAAAGCAGCTTCGTCCGCCAGACACGTAAGTATGACACCGAATCGCCAGGAGTTGAGCTGCCGGTAACCCTCAACCTGGTTTGGCATGCCTTTTAAGCGGTTTACAGGGGTGTGGCTGCTGCTGCATCCAAACAGCCTCTTGGAGCCACAGGTGGGAGCTGGGTGCCTAGTTGAGACCAGAGAACGGAGGAAGCCCCAAAGGGGCCGACAACCCTCCGAGTCAGAGGTCCTACTCCTACCGGGTACCCCATACACCCCATTCTACAATCCTGGGGCACCAGGATTCCATAATAATCCTGGGGCACTTTGAATTTCTGAACTGGCTTTCTCCATGTGCATTACCTCAAAACGAGGAGGGAGTAAGAGATGGAGCCTTGTAAGAAAAATGCCGTGTTGGTAAACGATATATCTGAAATCAGAATGACAATTGTATACAATTCATAATGAGGCTACAGAATTAAGAAAAGATAACTATTCACAATATTTAGAATGACAAGTTCTTTTCGGATAGTTAAGTTAATCAGTTCAGACTTATGTATCGTAATCTGAAGAAGAATGGCTTTACGGAACATTTCAACCAGGATTGTAAAAAGTGAAATTAACGCTATCTTCAATCAATAAGTGTTTTTGTTGGTATTGGTATAATCCCCGAGCTGGAAGTGTTGTTCGCAGACGTTTCGTATCCAGGTTAGGCAACCTTATTAATGCAACGTACCCGAAGGTGCTATCTGTTCTTATGAGACTATATGTACTAAGCAAATAAAAATAAAAAGAACCAAACAGATTATTCCACTAAAGCATTGAAATACAGTGCTATGTACATATTCGTCGTTTTTATTAATCGCCCAATCAAGTGATATTGTTTTACTGTGTATTCGCGTTGCAATTGAAATTTTGTTTTGCCAGAAAGTGACGAACCCAATTTAGAGCTCCATTGTGAAATTTCTGTCTATTCTGTTGATAAAAAAATCATGGAATTTGGTTTACCGGAGATTTGTGTAAGTTGATTTTGCTCCACACCTTAAATGAGACAGTGATCCCCATCTATGCATTGCAATGTTAACGAGAGCAAAGTTGTGCCCGATCATAACATGAAGGGAATTGGTCGCGTAAAAGTAAAAGGGGCTCGAGATGTGGTCACTTCCCAATCAAGATTGACCCATCGCACTGTACTACTGTCCGCAATTTCAAACTGAACTGATATCCTCATTGAAGTGAGATCGAACCAAGATCATCGCAACTTCTTAGGCTTCATATGTAAACACCCTGGTTTGGAGTCTGGACAAGGGGATGACCCAGTATGCCGTTTACACTACACCTTTTCTGCACCGTAGTAAAGAATCACTATACATGCCCTATTCAGTCTAGGTTTACCGCCGCATGTTCAGATTCCTCGGTAATCAGGACGAATTCCAGCTGGAGGTCAGAACTTTACATGTGAGATTAATTGCCAAGTCGCAGTCAGTGTGAACTTGGTCCGATTGTATCGTCAAGATCCGGTAGTCTTGGTTGTACACATATGTTTAACAAATACCGTGAGAGATGTCCCGTTTTGTGTGAATCCCGGTTAAGGTAATGCAAATCGATGGAGCTCAAGCTAAACTAGGTCCCATTACGTATCACTTTTTGTGCACAATCTTGGATTAATAATTCTCAAAGTTCATAGGCAAATACGAATACTCTGCACGTTACCGGCAAGACTGGCTTTCTTACCATCTACTTAGAAGTTGCAAAGCTGGTCCACTAGCGTCTAGCTGTTAGCTGGTTTTGGTCTCGAACCCNCTCATTTGCCAACGACGACACGTCATCCATGAGAATGGTTTTTCTGTTTTAATGAACACCCTTACGAATTACACTTGGATAGTACACTTCGCTTATTACATCATGATATGGTACAATCAATCAGTAACAGATTTGCCGGCACAAATGGGGTTTCAACAGAAGATGCAAGTTTGAACGTGCAAAACCTAGAGTGACTGTGCGCACAATGGAAGGAAACGCAGAAGTAATATGCTCATACTACACGCAGAGCAATAATAAACTAGAGCTATACCCAGTAGATTCAGTCGATTGATTACACCAAAATGGGCGGTAACAATTTGTTGTGATTTTTATTATGATATCTGTATGTTTCCGTGGGTGTATTCTTTCTTTCAAAATTCGAATAAAGACCGATTTCAATAGGAAAACTTCGGTCAACCGTTTACGCTTCAAATGTTTTCATTCTATTCTCAAACTAGTGGCATATTCATTAGCTTCCCCGTGCACCACGTCAGAGTACCCGTAACCAGTCAAACAGGGGAAGGAATTGCACGGTGTTAGCATGAAACGATCGACAGACGTGTGTCACAGGATAGAACAATGAATTCAAGGCATCAGCTTCCTTTATTGTGAATTTTATAGTGTTAATAACACAGCGACGTACATAGATAAATCATCTTTGCAATACAAATATATATATATATATATAATTCTTTACCTACATTGCTGTGTTAATATCACCATAACATTCACAATAAAATAACACATGGTGCATTGATTTTTTCGATACCCTCCTAACATCATTTGATCCCGATGCGTTAAAAATGATCACCAGTTGGATTAGATCAGCTTCCTTCATTCCCTTTAAGATATTTTTCTCCCACATACTGTCAGGAGGATCACGGTTCAGAAACAAATGCTTTAGCATTTTCAAAAAGACCGATTGCAATACCTACATGATTTCCTTGATTTGCTTGTATTTATTGATAATGACCGACAATGATCCAGTTCCTAGGTGCTAAATACGGTTAACCATTCGAGCACAGATGGATGCCAGACAAGGTTCGGCGAGTTGATCTATTTGGTTAAGTGAAAGAGAAAGACTCTGCTAGAAAGTTCTACATAGTTCAACCTTGATTTCCTGTACTTTTTCGACAGGGAGAAATGTCCTAGTTGAAACAGCGTTTCTTAAACAATTCTCATAGTGTAGGTATTCAGCACAGTGCGAGCACAAGGCATGGTTTTCAATTTTAAGGGTCAAAAGCTCGTTCTGGATTGTTCATACATTCATTGGTACAGTTAGTTGGTAAATCATTTCACATTAAACTTACGTTTAATCGCTGTGTGGACTGTTACAAAAATGGACGATGATTTGTAACACCATGTCATTCGGCAAACGTTGACATAACAGTTGGTTCAATAGTAAAACCTTATGATTTCCACAAAAAGGAGCATTAGTGAATAATTTCGATTGATCCATTTGAAACAAGTGATTATTTGTTTAAAACATTGAGGTTACATTCTACCTTAGGTTGATGTACTCCTTCTTCATTGCGATACCATTTCAGAGAAAAAGCGGCAAGAAAACAGGATTTAATTCGCATGGAAAATGAGCTCGAAATGCAAATCCAACGATACGAGGAACGAGCCAAAACTGAGGTAAGAAATGATTAATTTGTATGTGCCCGTGGATGTTCATCAATTATCAAACGAGGAGAAAAAGAAGCGCTCATTTCCGTATCTGGTATACACATGTATATGGTTAGTATGTAACGGATAGAAGAACACACTCGATTTAGCCATCTGTACCATTCAGAGATATTATTGTACTTGTGCTACCGGTTCAAATTCAACAATGTAAAGTGCGCCTGTTTGAGATGCATGTGAAGTTTTCCAGTTATTCGTATATTACTTATTGTGAAAACACCAAAATGTCGGTCGTAGCGTCTAGTTCACTGAGAGTAGACGCATGTAAATATCAAAAATCGAAGACAGTATCATCGAAATATTTTTTCACAGTTTGATTGTCACCAAATAACTGAGAGAAACGAAGTTTGATTTGGTCATTATATGGGTGCATATATCTATCTATCTATCTATCTATCTATCTATCTATCTATCTATCTATCTATCGTGTGTCATGATGTTATATTTAATATTGGACGACACGTGGTCTTCTTCCATCCCATCCCAACTAGCTCATTTACCCTGCGTGAAGAATGAATTGACCTAACCAAATGGTGACAAGTGTCATGCAACAACCGGGAATATAAATGTTAACTTTTTGGATAGGTTCACGCGAATTCCAACCAAAAGAAATTTTGAAAGGGCCTACCAGTGGGAATCGAAATGTAGAGAACTAATAGTGTTGGCTAAAATACGGTAAACTGTACGCGGTACGGCAGTAGATGTTTTATTTCATAAAGCACAATAAATATTTCTTGCCCCAGCTGGGAATTTCTATCAGTTCTTCGTGAGTCATAAACGTGCTGAGACCCTCCTTAAAGCAGTCAATATCTTCTGGAATGTTTGCCAAGCTAAATTCCTCCTGGGGATTCCCACGGTATCAATTTGAATCCGATTTAGACTAATCGCCACTGTTGGAGAGTGGCAGTGTTTCATTAATGTTTCTGGATCCGTGAGAAAATGTCTCGTGAAACACGATTGGCTAATCGAATGGCAGAAAAACATCTTCATTCAGTGTTGACCCAATAGAGTCCTCCTGTTCATGCAAGTTAGTTGACAAATCAGAGGTAACGGGACCGGAGCCATTTACCAAAATCCATCGCTGACTTTCGTGTGATCCCGGTGCAACTTATGGGGTCATGATGATAATATAATGGTGATAATAAATAATGGCTATAACAACCATGATTCTTATTGTTACCATTTATAAATTACAGTGAAAAACAGTGAAGCGAATTTACCTAATTTTTATCAAGCCAAAAGCATCTCCAGGTCAAATATCAGGGTACAATTTAAGGTAGGAGGGTTAAAGGAACAGATTGATAAAGTGACTGAGTGTTATTTCATTGTCATTGATTGAATTGGTCATACACTCTACTTCCAAAAGTAAATTCCCTGAGCACACCCCACGACTTCCGATCACTAAGAGGAAAGATGTATTGTAATGCAAAGGTACTCCGAGCTCTCGTAGCGCAGCGGAGTGAACAAGGATGTGCGACAGGCTGTCCCTCGGCTCGTATTCTCGCAGCGGGAGACGATACGGGGCTTTTTGGGTGACGAACTTCGGTAGGGATGTGGGACACGGGTTGGCAGACGGGTCTTCCGTGGGTCGTGGTTGAAGCTGAATCCGCAAGACTGAGGAAAACAAAACGCCATGAACCAAAAAGGTCCACTGAAACACAAGCACTGACTATAAAATATCATTGGATGGGTTGCCAAGAAGTATCACTAACGCCGTTATCCACAAACGGATAATAGTTATCAACTCAGGGGGCTGAGGGAACTAATTCACTGTGTTGAGTACTATAGATTCCAGAATCGTGTTACTCGGGATCAGTCAGTTTGACGATTCAAGGCTGATGACTCGGTTCTAACGGGATCAGATTTACGCCATGATCCTTCATTTGAGAGGAAACCACTGATTATAAACCAAATGGGAAACTTCGAAAGAATATATGTACGCCCAATGTCGAACAAAAAAGTCAGTGGTGTATTATTTATCAGCCCACTAATTCATACAGACTGGAATGGGAGAAAACACACATGGGGTTTTCCAGGGCTTAGCTAAAGACGAGTGTTTCTTTACAAAAATCAATGAGCTAGATTTGAGGTTACATCTTGAACAATTTAAACACAAGACAGAAATTCCGAATCTATCTTTCCTTTATTGGACCTCATCACTTAAGTGACGAGTACTTGTATTGTCCTTCTGAACTCAATTACTCATTCAAGTAACACATAAAAAGTGATGTTATAAATATCACTAAATCCATGATGTTTTCTATCCCTTCTTCCGATATTTCAACTGTGATTCAAGGTGCAAGATAAAATCAAAAGTGAGTACGACACCATGATAAACGCGAAAGAAAAAGAAATCGAAGAAATACGTTCCCAGGTGGAAGTGTTGAAAAAGGTGCGTTTGTTCTCTTTTCTTCATGACCACCATGACCACCACCAACACCACCACTGCTAACCAACGTCCATATCTACTTTTCTTCTTCACGCCTAAAGAGAATTAAAGACAGCGGAGAGCAAATTCAAACCCGCACCACTCCCGACTCGACCACAGTCGATCAAATCAATTTATCGGAAGATCCTGTCTCACCGACTCCATGGCCTTATGTGGCCAAAAGTCCTACAAATCAGGATCAGTTAAAAACTGTGATGGAACAATTGGCCCGGCGAGAAAGTGAGCTGTCCGCATTAAAAGCTCAACTAGAAATGCAAGAGAGACAAATTGAAGTGTGAGTGCCTGTCTGTGTTGTTTATATTCGAAAATGTTGTCGAGAAAGATGCGTAGGTTTGTGACTGGAAAGAAGGACATATTGATGAGTCTAGTTTGCATGTTCTATGTTCGGAATCGTGTAAAATGTCTGTATGGTTATGCGTTGACAACAATATTTGAAGTTCGAATTTCATCATCATACTGCTATTTCTTTTTATTGTTTAGCATATTTCAAAGTGCTTTGTACTGATATTTTTCTGTTGTGTTATTGCTCACCCATTACAGAGAGCAATGTAGGTATAACATGCTGCCAAGATCCAGAGTAGCCATATCACCAGTCTTCTAATATCATCTGTTACGTCTTCTTCAATCATATCATTCAGTGTTATTTCAGCAAATGTCATTTTTATGTTTTGGGTAGGCGAAATCGAGTAGGGAGAAAAATTATCCAATCTTTAATTAGCTCATCGCATGCCTCTCATATTGAATCGAAAATTATGAAAAGGGTTAATATTTTATAGTTTGTTACACATTCCTTTGCTAGCCGTAATATGACTGAAATCCTGACAACCTAAGGTAATTCACGTTTGACCTTGCAATAAAATTAAAAAGCGACCGGTGTTGATGTATTAGATTTTTTCATCGTTGATTGTGTTATACTGTAAAACGTCCCAGTCTGGAAGTCGTTAAAAGGCGTCAAACCCTAGTGCGTGGCCGCCCCTTCTCTCTCGCTCTCTGTCAAAACTTGTCGTACATTGTCGAGTTTACACTCATTCGACTCAATTCTACGACCTCTTTCTTGTGTTGTCGCTCTTTTGGAAATGAACCGAACATATCGCACACATTCGGTCAAGGCAATTTACTTTTTTAATCGAAGTCTTTAGAGATACTGTTCAGTGTGAAATTATTTATTTTCATTCGTTGTGTAAATATTGTGGCATCGTTCGAAAGAACATTCGATGCTTCTTGCAACTTGTTCTGATTGTGCCTGCTAAGTTTAGTTGTATGAATTCTACGGATATATTTGTACTATCCAGTTCTGTCATTGCTAGCACTACATTTCCCCTTGTGCTTGCTTTTCTACGGCCGATCGATACTCTCGACGTGATCTTTCTTACTGTTCTGTTCGCCTGTGATCGCCATGGTCCCCAACGAGTGGGCGACCGAGACAACTAGCTTCGGTTTCTGTTACTTTTTCATACTTCATCAGCCTCGCTGTTTGAAAAAGTGAGAAAATGGAACGTCACAGTCTGTTAGCAAGTGTCTTACCTGTTGTTTCATCTGCAATGGGAGTATGTGGTCTCTTGAGGTTTGGGAAAGATGTTAAAACAGGAATCTCGTGCACCATGGCCTAGTATATTTTCATCCCTCACATGCCAAACTCTTGTTGAAACAAGTTAAGAAAATACTCACATGGCAGAAAGTTTATTGTTCTCTACAGAATGTGAAAATCCCGATTTTCAATCGTATAACACGTATAACATATAGGTACGAGAAGGAATTATAAGGTACCGAAGAACAAATTGAAAATTCGCCGCACCCCACAAAATTGCAGTGTATATACACGGCCGAGCCCAGAGCGACGACAAAAGCAACGGCAAATGCACTTGCAACCTCGGAGGTCGTACATACTCTGTTTCTTCTAGTGTAATTTTCTTGAATGGAAATATCTTGGTCTGCCAAAAAGAACGTCGCGACTCACACTACTATGACTGTGGTTTTTACAAATTCATCCAAACTCACAGCTCAGTTACTGAGAGAGAGATATATAAGGAAGAGGTGAGTCCCTGGAAAGCTTTGTGTGTTCAAATGACGATTATCGCCCAGATGTGGGTCTTACATGTCTTCGGTGACGGTTGATTTAACCTCACTCCGGAGAACGTAGGTTAATTTGAGTGACGCTGGGGAGCGAAACGGATGTATAAAATGTTCTCCTCCGAAAAACTTCAAGTTAAATTATGATTTTCTCTGAGAGACCATGGAGTGAGCGCACGCCGCAACGAAATGCTCCCGCTAGTCGTTGAGAAACGGAGAATGCATGGGTGAATCTTATCCACAAATTCCGGCAATATAATTACCCAGACAGGTCATAATGTCAGCAAAATGACAGTAAAGACTAGTCGTTCATTCTCGACTTGATCGGATTTCGTCACGTCTTGACTAAAGCATCTACCCCACTCGCCTGTTATTCAAACTACGGCAGAGACTGTTTGAGGATGATGAAAAAATCTTTAGGAACACCAGACGTGACTATGACTGTCTTACAGTCGTGTTATGAGAACAGAAATAATGGACCACCAGGAATGTACCTTAGACCTATGCAGAATCCAAGACCAATAAATTATCCTCCGATAAAAAGGTCGTCACCAGACAAATTTTTACTCGTTTCCCTCAATCTGGAGACCAGACCCAATAAACTATTCTCCCAAAAATATGATGCTGTGTAGACGCTATCGCCCTGCTAGTAGCTTTGGTCCACTCGATTTAAGCGACAAACTAAAATGCGAGGTAAGTGATTATCCTACTGTGGCTTTTGACGCACTTCGGTGCCATGTGCGGATGTGCTGTATTGTTCCTTTTCGGCCAACGGGATGCTGATGCAAACCGTGTACCACATTCTTTCATTGAAGTGCACACACATCCCCCCTAATGGAGACATCTTTTACCCAAATCTGCCTATACCATTGACATCATCACAACCATTTGACTGGGAATTAACACAGTTTATTAAATCGTATCCACTTTTCAATTGGATCCGTCAATCATTCCTCGTCAATCTTGAACTTAATGTTAGCAAACGAGGAGTTGAGGGTGGAGCCGATTTCTACTACAACTCTATTAGAGACCGGGACCATGTTGTATTATTGTTTGAACACGTCTGCTATGCATCTTTACCGTAAATGTTCAGGGTTACCTATTTTATGTTTATTAATTGGACTAAAATGACGATTGTGGCGCAAGAATTCTGACGGGATTTCCTCAAGCAACAACACCATCCCCTGGTATTCTGTAAAGAATTTACAAAACACCTCGCGGAAATCCTGAAAGATGTGGTCAAGATCAAACACATTCTGTGAAACTGGTCAAAAATCCCTGATTCGCAGTCAAATAAAGAAAAGGATTTTGCAGAGAGATATCTCGTGCAAAGATTTCCTTGTAATAACACATGCTAAACCTACTGCCTACTGCAAAAACCCGCACCGAGTTCGTGTGAGAAGACAAACTGATGCAGCACTAAAAGCAGATGCACAATTTTATGTTCAATCTACTGATGTTATACAAACACAAGAGCCTCCAAAGTAGTCAAAGCTAGCTTTCCAGCGCTAAGTTTGGCAGAGGAGTTTCAATCACAACAAAAGAGGCAACTGAAATGCTAAAACGTCAATACGCTCAAATGTTTACCGTACCTAGCAACACTGGGCTACGACTGCCTCAGTTATTGGAGGACATACCATATTAAAGACTAACAACATTTGATTTTAGCCCAGAAATCATAGCATCGAAACCGCAGTGTTTGAAAAAAGCTATCTCTATCTGCTAACTTTATGTCTATATCGGCCATCCAAAAACCCTATCAACCTGGCAAGTAACAAAGACCAGCAATTAAGTGAGCCAGTCCAACCTATGTTCAATAATACTGTGCTTCAACAATAATGGACACAGAATACTTCTATTTGTATACAGAGGCTGCTGTCCTAGTGATCAAGTCAACTACCACCAGTCTATCTTCTTCCTGCATTGTCCAAAGTCACAAAAGCCACTGCTGCATACAATATGATGGGTCACTTTGAAAAATGCAACATACTATCGGCATAACATCATGGGTTTCGTCAAAAGCGATTGCATGCTACTACCCATTGACTTGTTCTAAAAAGAGTGGACAAAAACAGTCGATCATGATGATGCACTTCAAGTAGTGTGCCTCTAGTTTTTCAAGGGATATGACTGAGTGAACCACAAAATACTGCTGAGGAAACTACAAAATTGTAAAATTCAGTGACTTCTATTGGGTTTAATTGAAGAACTTCTTTGTCAACGCACGATGACGATTCGGGTTTTTGAGTCACTATCTGGTTCTGTCAACAAACCCGGGGGGTTCCACAGGGAACCCTGCTTCATCGTCAAGATTTCCAGTTTTCATAAACGACCTAACAAACCTTCTTGGGCAATAAACGTTAATGGGCGGTGATGGCTCGGTGGTCACGTCACCAACTTCTTACCCCAGAGTACATGTGTTCGAATCTCACCACCATCGTCTGACTTTCCCCGTGTGTGTTGCATGGCAGCCCTTTGATTGGTCGCTTCCCCCTTCCTGAAAATTGTATCTTCGTGTAATCAATAATTGGAAGTAAACATGAAAAAATTATATAAAGATGTGTAATACAGTGACGAAACCTGAGGACTCACTGGCACTCTATAGAACATTTCGTGCAGCTTATCAGGGATTATTTCAAAAAGATATCGAGTTCAATGCACCGAAAATTACGGCCATTTCCCGTGGCCAAAAGTATCTGTTTCCGTGGTTCCTGGGACACTACCAACTTCCATATAACTCGAATGAGAAAGACCTTGTTGCCATCGTTTAGGACAACCTGAGGTAGTCTATAAACTGCTCTANNNNAGTGAGTCTGGTGAATACAAACCTATGTTGTTCCCACGTTTGTTGCCAGTCTACATTCAACCCCATATGGAGTACGCTTTTCATGGCTGCAACAAGATCGTAAGAAGTTGAAGCGACCCCAAAGAATGGCCTAGAAATGATCACGGGACTGCATTTGAAGACATACGTGGAAAGACTGTCATCGTAAGAGTTGTATTCTAATCAGTGTCGTCAAATTCGAGGAGACGCGATTTGGTGTATCTAATAATACAGAACTCGACCATCCGGTCGTTCACTGTTCACCCTGTGACCCAACCCTAGCCGCAGGGGTCTTCCATTCAAATTATTTCTCAAAAATTGTCGACTGCAATTTATTTCTCCTCAGAGTATGCAGTATTTGGAATTCTGTATCAACTCACGATG